TAATATCCTCGTTTCATCTCCTAACTTAGAATCGAGAAACAAAAGAAGATTAAACTGGTGACGCCATTTTACAAATTATATAATTAAATGAATAAATACTAATCGTTACATTTTCTCAAATGACAAAACTCAATATGACAGGATAACATAACATATGCACCATAGTGTATAACCACTAGCTTATTGTGTTAGAGCGTATGCAAATGCCCTATATGTATGTTTTATTACACATTTTTTATTATTTTCGGCGTTTTAGAGTTACCACTTTATAGATACATTTCCTCTATATCTTTTTATTTAGCAGTTATTAATAAATTGAAGAAAATTGAAGAAACAAAAATTTGCCTAACGTGAAATGTAAGTAATATATAAAATAAAACACGAATACACACAGCATAAGTGACAATTGCAACTAATGCTAGTATTTTCTTTCCTTGTTAGAATGGTCTTATAATTTGCATCATTTTGATCCATATTTGAAAGAGAGGCAAAAGATACCAAAGGGGCATATATTGAACGACGACTTTATGAATAACTAAATCATTTGTAAAAGTTAAATATATACCTTTTGTTTTAAATGATTTTTTTTATTTACGCTTTATTGTTTAAAGATTCAAATAAAAAATCGGAATAATGATTTGTCAGAGGCCAGACATTCATAAAATAGAAGGCAGTTGTGTGTAACAGACATTCAGATATTTTCAGCTGAAACTGTAGGCACTACATGTTGGCGAAAAATAATCTAATATGCAATCAACCATGTAATAAGACTTTATATGATACGATTGTTAACGGTTATGCAATTAACATTGGTGTGCAATTAACAAATAATTAATACGAGATGTAATTTAAAACATTGTTTTTCCATTATCTTTTCTTCTATAAGAATTTGATTTGATTAATGGAATATATGATACATCAATTAGAAGCAACAGTATAGTTTAATGACGTTCAAGTCTCGTAAATATATTGATAAAACATGGACAAAAACTGAGGGAATAATATGAACGCAGCAGAACCGCGTCCGTCATAAGATTAGCGCCTCCTGCTATGCGTTATCACTCGCCATGGAAATCTACACTTAGTCAAAATGTCACGGTCACATATAGATATAAAGGTACATACCAAATTACCTTTCTAGTATCTAACATTTGTTGTCTAAAGACCTAAGACTGCGAATACATGTCGCTTTTGAATAAAGAAATCACTTAATACATTATGTGCGTCAATGACGCTTTTTGGAACGGCCAGACATAAACATTGGAAAGCCAAGGGGTGTATAAATACATAAAAAACGTTAGGAGCAGAGGTGAGTTGTGAAAATAAAATGTGCATCGTTTAATCAATTCGTGGTGGTAACCTTCTGTAGTATCTTTTTAAATATTTTTTTTACTGATAAACCTGCTGGTGAAATACTAGGAACACCCCTGTATAGGTAATGTGAACTGCTCAGTTGTAACGTTTAAATTGAGTTATATAAACGCCTTACAGTTAGATGGTATTAATAACTGCTGAGGAATTTTGAATTTTGACAATGGAAAATGTGTTAAGGTCACTGTTGTCAATATTCGATATCCACTTATGAGTCTTTTGTAGACGGAACGTCTGGGATGCAGATGGATAAGCTTAATAAATAAGATGATTCAACAAAAGAACTAGATACAAAGCAACTTTAAACAGCAACAATCAACAGAAAATTAGGATCTTTAAATAATTTACCTAATGCGCCTCAAATTGAGGAATACAAAATTAATGCGTAAACAAAAATCTCTGTGTAGTGATATTGGACATGTTGTAATCTAAGCTTAACCATTTGTGCTAATTTGGAGTACAGATGACCATAGAATAAAGTGTAAAAATTATGGAGTTATTAAATGTGTGCAAAGAACTAAATTTTCAAAGTACTTATTGTGTGAAAAAAGGAATATTTTACCTCGCGAAGCCGTATTGCAAAAGGCTTTTCGAGGTTTGCTAAATTCTGGAAAAAAACGAACCTCGATTCTTACCTCGAATATTTAACAACATATGTGAAAATGTATCAGCTTCGAAACGAACCATCATACATATCCAAGTTCACGATATCAGCAGAGGAACTACCGCTTATCTGAAATGATTTGCGCATCTGTACCAATTTATCAACTTTATTTTAGAAGTTATCAGACTAATTTATGGATTATTGCATCTTGTACATCATAGAAAATTGTGAAAATAAAGGGTAGTTGTCTTGTATAAATACATAGTTATCTCAGCTGGCTCTAGATTAACATTATTCATAAAACACTTTTTCACTTTTGAAATGTATTACTAGCAAGGGACTGGATCACTTCTTTTAGGCACAGTCACCATTTTTGTTTACATGAGACGCTAAAAGGCATATGTCATTGCCGTAAAAAAGGGACTTCTTTATAGAAACATTAAATATTGTTAAATTGTAAGTCAACATGACAAACTTCAGAAATAGCTTTGCCCCAATTATGTCACTTTCATTCAAGTCTACAGATATAGCTGATAATCAAGGGAAATAACATATTTCGTACGAGTATAATTGAGGAGGGGAGGGGGGGGGGTCCTGATCCCGAAATCCCGGGCTTAAAAACATGGAATCCCGAGGTCCCGAATTTAAAAAAATTATTTCTAGACATCCCGAAATTCGAAAAAAGAATTCCCGGATCCCAAAAGGATCAATCTCGAAATCCCGAGCTTAAAAACACCCGATCCCGGAGTCCCGATAAAGATCCTACCCCCCCCCCCCCCCCCATTATTTGATACATTGATACATTTTTGTACACCAATAATTTGACCATTAATTAGCAGCTGGTTACTAAAACACGCAAATAAACAAACAATATAATTTACAAAATGCATGAATTGCTATATTTTAATGCACAACAACAAATATCACAAGATAGTGTCTTTTCTCAGTGAAAAGGGGGAGGGGGGTAACACCTTTTAAAAACAAAGTCCTTCAACTATTCAGCTATTCAGCTACTACTGATAGCTTCTCATTAAAAAGGTTAAAATGAATGTTGTAGAGCCACACGTGAGAATCATCTCTCTGCTTTGTGATAATCTTTCAAGAACTAGATTTTTTCCTCTCAATAATACAGTTTGTTTTTAAATGAAACGATAAAACAACCTGAATCAATTTTGTTTTTCAGACGTATTACTCCAGTTAAACCTGTACCTAACTATATGTGTTTATAACGAGAGCAAAGGATCATAGAATAAAGGTGTAAAAACTACGGTGTTATTAAATGTATGCAAAGAACTAAATTTTCAAAGAACTTATTGTGTGAAAAAAGGAATTGTTTACCTCGAGAAGCCGCATCACAAAAGGATATTCAGGGTGTGCTAAATTTTGGGAAAAAATATCACTTCGTACCCCGAAAATTTAACCAGATGTGTGAAAATGTATCAGCTTCGAAACAAGCCATCAAACATATCCAAGTTTACGATACGAGCAGAGGAATTGAGAAAAAGGGCTACCAAGTTTTCGGAAACTCGGCCGATTTTGTCAAGTCGGATTTAAATCGTAACTATATATATCGTGACATATTCTGCTGTTTCGTATCAAAATTCGAGTAATGTTGTGTAAACGCCGATGACACATTACCAAACGATAAAAATAACTATATATATATATATTAAGTTTTGTCAAATTACTGTTATTTATTATGTATGTTGCGTTTTACATTCGATTCCGATTCGAGTGCCATGAATCTTCACCTCAAATCCTATCTTTAGTTTTCAGTTGTTTTGGACCAATGTTTGTATTTCGACTGTTTTCTTTTGGCCATGCTGTTGTCGAGGTATGTTTTATTTTTGATTTATGGTTTTAATAGCCCATATAACATGTATATAGCTTCTTGTTTTTTTATACATTGCTTACTTATCAGGAAATATAAGCGTTTTAGTAGGATAGAATGTAACTTGTATCAAATTAAACCAGAGTGATTTTTGTTATTCTTGTTTAATCGTTTTATTTAGAATAGACGTTTTACACCAAAAATTAAAACTACTGATTCTTACATAATGTTTAGCTGATATCTTTGTCGTAGAATGTGACTATTTGACCTGTCATATATAAAGTTGTGGGACGACCACATGATTTTCTGATTGAGTAGGATTTGAAATAAATATCTTTGCCTGGTAAGACAAAAAGCGCGTCTGGCGTAACACATTATACTCCTGGTGTCCTTGATGAGTTTTAACATAATAAATGAAAGGTTTGTAAAACTATATTCCTTTATATAACGAACAGAGAAAATTATTATTGGATAAAATAAACAGTTTTTGTACTCATTTTAAAGAATTACCCAAGGATAAAAAATATTTCTGCCTGTTCACAAATGAGCATTTACCAACTCTTATGCATGTTATGTGCCTAGGAAATTATATTATTCAATGTTTAGAAATAAGATCCAGGTGGAAACAAAATATATAAATGATATTTTATTATTATGAGATATGTTGTAATAGTTATATAAGAATCATGATGTGTTAGGCTCTGATCCTGTCCATAACATGATAGAATTATATTAGGTTCTTGTTTTTTGTTTACGTTTTATTCCAATCATATTATTATTCTTATTCTTATTCTATCTTAATTGACTAGGATTGCTAGTTTTCCTCCCATAGGTCACGCCGGACACTCCAGCTTCCCCTTCCTTTCAAAACTGACCTGAAAAGGAATAATGCAGAATATAAATTGTGTACAATAGTCCCCCCCCCCCCCCCTTCCCCGGAATATTGCTTGTCCCATTAAGATGACAATTTGATTTAAGAAAAACGAATGTTACATACAAACACACTCAAAACCAATTAATGCTATGATTTTTTGCAGTTTAATATTTCTGTAATGTTATAATAAGAAAATAAATGAGATAATCATTTGGAGTTTGTAACCCGGAATTGATGACGTATTTACTTTAGTACCAAATAATTGAAAACGAAAGTAGATTTTTTTTTGTACCAGGTGAGTCACATTTGTTTGATTGTGAAGAGGTATGAACATATTCGACATTGGATGACCCCTATGCAAAAGAGAAATATTTTTTCTTTAGACATGGATAAAACTGGTAAAAATATGCATTGGTTTGGTCATTTTGCGTATCGAATTTTCACTTACACCTATATATATATGTATTACATATGTGTATGCATGTGAAAATCAAAAGTCAATAAACAGTTTTTCATATCCTATTTATAGTTCATAAACATACAAATGACTTCGTTACAAAGAAGAAAAATGACAACATTGGAAGATTACTCTTAACGGAATTAGTGATGTATTTTATGAACTTGACAAGGAATCAGTTTTCACATGAAGTAATTTTCAGAAAGTCATTTATTCAAATCTTTACGGAAATTCACAATATGAGGATGAACATGTAACTTATTTTATCACTTCTTTTAGAAAATTCTGGAAATATTTTACACAAATAAGCACGCAAAAGGTAAGCGTTTCTGAATACGCAAAATACTTCTAGTCGTTAGTGAAGAATTTATGGCAAAATTATGTCCCAAATTTATGTCAAACAGGGAAAAGGGCTTCGGCCTTCTAATAACATAGCCATTCAAGACGTCGTAATGATTTGGACTAGAGTTTGCCCATGTAGAGGAATCATTTTGTTTGCTATAAAATCATAAAGTTGGGCGGCTTAGTGTAACACAACACACGGTTATTTGGAACAACAATTTATTCAAGCCGGTCTGGACCAGTGTCCATAAAGGACGGTCTCCCCTAAGGCCTTTTAACAGTACAAGCAATAGTTTATATACAATTTCATTTGAATATAACAGTTTATCAAAATTTCTATTACTTTGACAATAATAGTTTTTATCCTAAAGATAAACAGATGAATATCTATCAAGCTGACTTTAATTGATATGTTTTTACCAATCTGGACAATTTATAGTTGTGAATCTTGGGTATGTCCAGTTCATTAACTAATTGTTATTATAACATGTCAGCATATGGTCTACATGTGTACATATAATTTTAACCTTGAATTAAAACCATCAGTCTAAATCTTATTTGTATAATTTTCTTGATAGATATTTCCCTGTGTTATTTTATTCAATGAATTTTATTAAACATATTAAACATATTAAGAATATAAATATATATATTTTGAAGCCCATCATATTGTCACATTAGTACCGAAATTTGACAAAATCATGCAAATGGTGATACGAGCATAGGATTTGGCACACATGTTCTTTAGGGTGTATTTAAGCATATTAGAGGGTTAGCCAACATATTTTTGAACTTTTTTCACGGCGGCCATCTTGAATTTAAAATTGACATCATTTTTGCTCAATAGTGGAAATTGAAAACAGATCCACACCTCTTTTAACGTGATATAGGTGATGACAACTATTTGAAATACAACAAAATGACCTGAAAATATGTAAAGCAGACAAAAATCGTAAACATAAATCAGCACATCCGGTAAGGGTGGTAAAAGATCATACAATCGAGTGAAATAATGGAGTAAGGATATGTGATAAAGATGTCCATTTGATATATAGGTAATTATTGAAGATATAATAGAAGGTCGAATGATGTCAGATTCTACCATATTTTCAAATGTATTTCGTTCTAACAGCTACAGGAACACAATGTTGTACATGTCGAACAAGCTTTATAACACTTGCAACTACCAGATCAAGTTTTCTTACATTCACATTTGTGTAACTCCTGGCACGATGCTGCAATGGCTGCTAATTGTGTCCAATTGGGAATCCACACCTCTTCTGCTGTCTCCTTAAGCCATCCTTAATCGCCCGGACTAGATAGATGTAATCAAGTGTGAATGCCTGTCCCCATAGATGACTGCCTCGATATGCAACTCATTTGTGTGCTAAAGCAGTGCAGCTCTGATGGGCGTAATTGTGTCATACTGTCTTTGTTTGCGTGCAAACAATTCAAGCCTGGATTCATTGAGGTCAAATGTTTTTGTAGTTCTGTCGTACATAACTACAACAAATGCCTCTATCAACTCCATATCAGCTTCACTAACCAATGCAGGTTTCTTACTCAATCGCCCAAACACCTCGGTTACTTCATCATGTATTTCACACGTCTGCCATGCCGACTTATTTCCCTTTCCATGAAAAGCGAAGAAACTGTCATATCCGGTGAAAGCATGACAAAATGGCAAAGTCACCGATTTAGGACCAAGAGAATGATCAATTTCACAATTTTCCAAATGCAACCCAATTTTTTTCTACTTGTAGTGTCCTGAATAGAGACACTATTAAAACCACTACATCAGTGTCTGAGCTGATTATCAGTGTCTATTTAAACCCCCTTTCAGCTACACTTTTGAACAAATATCTGCTTCCTCGTGATTACACAGACTGAGATCATCATGATCATCATAGAAAATTGTCATATCATCTTCGCCTTTTGTCACAAAAATCATTTTGTCAGATTGAATGAAGCAAATTTTATCGACAAGGAAATTAAACAATTCCGTCTTGTTTTTGTCCACTCCCAAGCTTTCGGAGTCTGGTGCCCACAACTTTCCGCCTGGTTCCAACACCCCTCGTTTTAAGTGTTTGTGCTTTTAGGCTCCTCCTATGTAAATATAAAATATTATGTCTACTCTTGAATGTTTTGAAGTAAGGTGGTTAATGTACTGCAAAATCTTTCGCGTACTCATCAAAAAGTGTATGTTCCACGCGGTGTTCTCGTATTTACCATAGCCGAACCATCAACTACTACCATGTCTGACAGAGGTTTTCCTCTTGGAAAATCCTCCTTAGATTTTAGAACTGCAATAAGCAGTGATGTAACGCCAATATTAAATTTTCCACTTTGAGACAATGAAGGAGGAAATTTCCACACCCTCATTCAAATAAAGTGCAACTACAGCTTCACCTAATTGAGTTGACATTTCCAGTACCCGATCATAAGATATGCATAACCTATGTTCAAATAACGTATCTTTAAGTTTTCTCTTCCTAGTTTTTGCTGAAAGTGATAGTCAAATATACTCATAAAATGGTGTCTCACGATCAGCTGAATGTCTGTGTTGTACATGAACTTTCTGGGTGTTTGGATGATAATTAAACATTAATAGTCGGACTTTGTAGAAACGTTGTCTAACTGCGATTTAGGTATCAGGTCCATACTCTATCATTTTCACATATTGCAACAAAGGTGATATGCTGTCATCGATATCTTCAGAGACCGAGGATCCATTAAATGTTGTCTTCTTAGTAGCTAACTGGCAGCGAATCATTAAGCCGTCTTTACCATATGCCTGGTGTCATTGTAATCACAAGCAAACGCGATAGCTGGTCCTATATACTTTTCAAACATCTAAAGGACGTCTCTGCCTTTTGAGTGGGCTTCTAGTTCTGGCATCTTCTGCAAAAGCTTGTCCTTCAGGCGTGTAGAATGTACCTGCGCAGAAGAAGAACCAAGTTGTGCCAATATTTCTTCGTATAGGTTTGCCAGGTCCGCTAATTGAATCACCACTGACACTTCAGAATTTCTTTGAGTGTCAAAGATGTATGTTATCAGCTCAGCTAATGCAGTTTCTTTTATCATATTTTCCTCCAGCGAACAACTGCTTTCGGCCTCTGTTTGTCCCATCTGTGCTCTCTTTATCTCTGATGTATACAGCTGTGAGACAAGAAGGGTGATACACCATTTATTGTGCTATGAAATCACCACTACTTAATTTTGCCAACATCTGTTATCCTATAGTACTGTTGCACAATCCACTAATCGTTGGTTCAGTTTCAATGTCATTGCCTCTCTTAAAGCGGATAAAGGCGATTCCTTATCACAAATGAAACATTTATGCACATTTTCAACGGGATCTGGTTGTTGGTCCTTCGAACGAGGAGTACAACAATAACGTTTAGGGGGCTTACATTCACTCGAACTTCAAGATGGCATTGTTGACATATCGCGTTTCTGGGCTCTCTCAAGTTCTGTATTGTTAAACTTTATTCTGCATAAATTATGGTACTAAGCATTTTTTTTTCATTGTGCTTTCAATTTCCTCTCTGTCGTTTAATCGCCGAATATCAAGTGGGACAGGGAGTGCATTTACTTCTTGAAAAAGAGGATATTTTTGCCCAACATTTTACATCATCTGACAATTTCAGTAGGTCCTCTTGTGTTTTCCTGACACAAAAAACATTTTGTCCAATCAGTTTCCCAACCATCTGTTGAGGAAGCTGACAAGCGAATTCTTTTCGCCATTTTAGAAATCAACTACATGTATTATATAAATAAACTAAAGTGAACAACATTGTAACGATAGAACAATAATGCAAATATTGTCTGAGTATAATATCTGGCCACTTCTGATATTCAGGCCGAGGGATTATACTTTTACCACCTGTATAGCACTTTGTTGTATGTGATACAACTGAATTCGGTTAACCCAATTAAAAGTTCGCCTACATTCAGCCCAAACGTTTATCCAGTATCATTTAAATCCCGTGCGATCTGTACATCATCCAGGGGAATAAGTCCCTCCTCCTTCACTCGGCTCTCCCGCGTTGGCACATCCTATCGATCCAGGTACGAATCCACGACTTAATAATTGGGGCAATCATGGAGTAGTTGGTAGCACTTTAATCTTATAAAGCTGATACTTGATTCCATGCCGAGATGATCGGCAGCTAGTGTTTTATACCAGTGTGCCCTGGTAGTGCAAATAAATCACTCTCTGAAAGGCTTTCTAGTGATAAGTGATAAACAAAAGTAATGACTGGCAACATCACAATGGACAGACGCCAAGTAAAGACTAAAAATTAACTATTTATTATAGATAAGGTAAGAAGACCAACCCAAAAGATGCTTAAAATTAATAATTATCAAAGTACTATGATTTAAACATTGGCGTGTGGTAGTATGGGTCAAATGTAAATAATTTACTTAACCGGAAGTGAGTTATCGAATAATATTTGACCGGAAGTGATGTTCTTTTACTACAACCAGAAAAATAAACCTTCGTTCACTCAATGTAATAACATTTTGAATAAAATACAAGCAATATGTAAGTAATAGGGAACATACAATTGATGTGTTTTACCTGGATAGACGCCATTTTGAAAACAAAGATGGTCACCATGATCGGTTAGATTTTTTTTTCGTGGCTACCCCCTAAATATGATTAAATACACCGAAAGGCATGTTCTTACATAGTTTCATGCTTGTATCACCATTTGCATGATTTTTGTGGTATGCTGCTAAAATAATATGTTGAATAAGCAATATGCTTATTTTAAATGATACGGAATTTATTCTTACTGTTTAACTGCAAACATTCTTTTGGTAATCAGTTGCAACAAAATTGCGGGAAATCATCTATTGACCCTTCCATATATTTTTTGACCATTATTATTTATTCTGTTAATCCCATTTATACCGTCAAGTATTGTCAATTTCCTCTCGTATTTTTTAATCAGAAGACCAAAATAAAATAAAAACTATGAAACTCGGTCTGAATTATATACTCCTTAAAATTGTCAACTTTCTGCCATATACAGGTGAAGAATATGTTTCTTTTAGAACAAATTATACATGTTTGTACAATTTTGACGACGAACGACATCCTTATCACAATTATCGTGTGTGTAAACGAAGGGAAATACAGAACCCTGGCATAAATGTACGCACTCTTTTTAAGCATTTATAATTTGGTTACATATGCCATTATGCTGTTCTTCCCTAAAAGTAATCGCATGAATTTTGATTTAAAAAAAACAAGATTGAAAATAAAACGTTTTTAGAACGGTTTTGTTATGAACAAACTTCTCTTATATTCATCGTTTTTTACAGAATTACATAAACAAGAAAGATTTACCAGCATTTAAAGTGATTTTAACCTAACATTTATATACTGCTTCAATGACTTAGACATTGTTCACCGTATTGGAGCGACACTGGATATTGCTACTAGCTGAAATGTAGAGAAGTTGTAAAATTTTGTAATCTCCGGTGAGAATTCCAATATTGTATGCATTTGTGATTATTGCACGTGTCTTAAGATTTTTATAAAGATGTGTTAGGAATTGACCTGTTCTCCTTATTATTTAGAAATGTTACACATCAGCGTAAATTAAATCGGGAGATAAAAAATGAGGCACCAATTACTTCAGATTAAGAAAACTGGCCGGTTTAATGTTTCTAACAATTGGATAATTCTTTTTACTATTCAATTATGACCCACTATAAAACACAAGACCATATATATTGTCTTTATAAGTTATGTTAATCAAAGACAGTTTCTATAGTGTACGGCAACTTATTTATTGATATGTACGGCAGCTTGCATTCTACAACCTCTCTACGCTTCAGCTAGTATCAATATTCGGTGTCGCTCCAACGGTGTTTTTTTAAATTTAAACTGTTTAACTTTGTATTCAAATCTATAAAGAGCTTTTTATTTTAGGTTTTGGAAAGCAATGAATGAATATACATTGTCTTGTTCAAAATGAACTTATCGTCTCAATCCTTCAACATTGGTGGTACTTAGATGACTTTTTCTTTTTCGTAGGAAATAATAAGTGATCCGAAAAAAAATCAAAAAGTTTGTTAAACACTTTAATAAAGCACATTTTAAAGGATGCAATCAGTCGAAAGAGCGTTTATGTTTCACTGTGACGGGAATTCTGTGGTTGAGGAAGTAAGAAATATTTTGAGCAAATCTGACTTACCCGAGGACTGGACTTCGGAACTTTGGAACAATTTTGTAACAGAAATGATGACATATGAAATGGATACCCGTCAAATGAAAAGAAATTGTGTAGAAGTTTGGCAGGCATATGAGAAAAGATGGCACGAATTTCTCCCAGACTTAAAAGCGTCAATGGCCTACCCAGTGTATGCTGGAAGTTATGCTGAAGGAATGCCAAATGCATGCGACTTGGATATGATTTGCGTTGCGACTTGGATCGATGCTTACGAGTACTTTGGAAAGTTGCGAGAAAATATGAACAGTTTGCCTTTCATTTCCGACCTGTGTCATCCAGGATACATACAATTGATTGTTCCATCTATTACGCGAAGATGTTACGACTATAAAGATTATCAGGTAAAGAAGGATGGACGTCATCATTACTTGAGCAGTACGGGTTTTGTTAGAACAATGAAAGAATGGGGCACGACTGGGTATGATCATGATATAAATGGCCCAGCTCTAACAGAAGAAGGTGTTGAAGGTACATCGAATGACATCGTGCACGCGATTAAATGCGATAATTGGCCATCGTTTGCAAATGATGTTTTTCTACGAACATGCTTTCATGGCGATGTTGAGAAAATAAAACAGTTGAGTGTGTATGCGGTAGCGACTGGTCATGCCCTCAGTTTGCATAACGATATAGAATGGAGACTGTCCTTTACAGAAGCAGAAAAGTTATTAGTGAGGGAGTGGACGGAAACCCAGTACCATTGTTATTATCTAATAAAGCATTTAAAGATGATACATCTAAAAAACGCTGATGTCTTGTGTTCATATTTCATCAAAACCGTAATATTGTGGATAAGTGACGTCCTACCAAATGCCAGCTGGATTCCATCCCGGCAAATGGAGTTATTATTCAAAACGCTACATATTCTCCAGATTATGTACAGGAGCCACTACCTACCAAATTACTTTATTCCACAGAATAACATGATAGACTACAAGAATAAAGAAGATTGTCTGGTTCTAGCAGATGAGATAAGAGACATTCTGTCATCCGGTCGCATAAGAATAGTCATTGCTGAATTACTTTGTGAAAATGATGTCGAAAGCATATTTTTGTCTGCAAAAAACTGGGATATAAAAAATGCCAGAATTACTTCATGTAGAATACTTTGTAAAACCATTCGTAAATACTGTGTAAGCTCATGGACATTCTGTGAGCAGCTAATTATAAACGAGTCGCAGCTTTTGTCATCGCTAACAACTATGATGCCTATTTGGAATCGTTCACAGTGCAAAGCAATGGAAGAAGTTTTAGCAATTCTAACTCAAATTGTTTCGTTGGAGTTTACTTGCGCATTTCGAACTGTAATCACAAGACAGATAGCAGACTTTTATCATTCGATTGGTACCAGACAGTCGCGAAAAAAAGCTGAAATTTTCTACAGAGAGTCTCTTACACTCGTATATCCTTGTGAATTCAATGATGGGCAAATATCGGGAAGAGTTCAATTTGCTCTTTTTTACTATTTGAATGGAGATTGTACCGTTGCATTATCTGAGATAAACAAAATTCATCCAGCTATCGTCGATGCAATCAAGAATCTTAAAGTAGACCGTTATCTTCAACTCTCTTTTCAAGTTTGGCTAAAGGATAGATTTGTTCATGACGAGTTTTTAGCCATGTTGGTTTCAACATTAGTAAAGAATTTTCCTTTTATAGTCAATGTAATTGTCATCGGCATATACGTAATGATTAAGTGTATAGTAAAACTGTGCCCAAAAGAAGGTCAAGATGACTTTTTGGCTTTGTATTCTCTTCTGAAAGAATGCGAGGACCAGCAGTGCACGCCTACGGCATGTGGTTCATATCAAATGATCGCAGATCATTTATCAGATACTGTAAAGGAGAAATATCACATAATTCCCCTACAACCAACAGTCAATTATGTAATGGCTGCTACCAGGAATCAGGCTGTTAAGCAGTTTTGGGATGACCGATAAAAAAAAACATCATTATAAATAAACTGATTTTTTTAAATACAAAGGATATTCTACCATAGGAAAAACTATAACTGATAGGGCGAGACCGATATCATGTTCGATGCAATAAAATACTTGATATCGAACTGATGGGTTTTTTTTTAATGTCTTAGTAAAAATCCATCTTATTACGATGGTACTGTTTAAAAGAGTATTTGAAAATTGGTTTTTTTTTCGCACAACGTGTTGCGGGGGAAATAGAAATACCGGGCGTCTGTCCATCCGTCCTTCCGTCCGCCCGGTCTTGTTAATGTCTCACGTGTACAATTCTATCCAGATTTTTATGAAACTTATATCATAGGTTTATATCAGCAATGTCTTGGACAAGTTCGAAAATCAGTGCTGATCAATTATTTTTAAAAGAGTTAAGACCCTTGGAAACATTAATTATATGGAAAATTGCATCGTTAGCGCTCTCATGTGTTCAATTCTTGCCAGATTTTTATGAAACTTATAGCATAGGTTTATATCAGCAATGTCTTTGATAAGTTCGAAAATCAGTGCCGATCAATTATTTATGAAATAAATATTAATTATATGGAAAATTGCATTGCTAGCGCTTTCATATGTACAATTCTTGTCAGAATTTTATTAAACTTAAATCATAGGTTTATATTATCAATGTCTGTGATGAGTTTGAAAATCAGTGCCGATCAATAATTTTTAAAAGAGTTATGCCCCTTAGAATTATTTATTATATGGAAAATTGCCTTATCAGCGCTATAATGTGTACAATTCTTGCACATTTTTATGAAATTTATATTATAGGATTATATCATCAATGTTTTTGACGAGTGCCGATCAATTATTTTTAAAATTTTAAAGTTATGCCCCTTGGAAATATTGATTATATAGAAAATTGCATCGTCAGCGCTCTAATGATTTTTTTGCCAGAATTTTATGAAACTAATATCATAGGCTTATATCAGCAATGTCTTTGACACTTTCGAAAATAAGAGCTGATCAAATATTTTTAACGAGTTATGCCCTTGGAAATATTAATTATAATGGAAAACACACTGCATTTGCTCCGAAGCCTTCATTTCTCTAAGCTACTAGTATTAATAAAAAAGTTTTAAAGCACTTCATGTATCTAAGTACACATCCAACATCCAATGGATTTAGTTTAAAGACGTCATTAAAAGAGGGACGAAAGATACCAGAGGGACAGTCAAACTCATAGATCGAAAACAAACTGACAACGTCATGGCCAAAAATAAAAAGACAAACAGACAAATAATAGTACAGATGACACAACATAGAAAACTAAAGACTAAGCAACACGAACCCCACCAAAAACTGGGGGTGATCTCAGGTGCTCCGGAAGGGTAAGCAGATCCTGTTCCATATGTGGCACCCGTCGAGTTGCTTATGTTATTACAAATCCGGTAAATAGTCTAATTCGGTAAGTCACATTCGTGAAAAGGGAAGGGTATTGTAGTTACGACATAAGGAACATATCCGATATCATCTGTGAAACGGTTATTCCATAACGGTCAACCAACTCGTGATGGTGTCCGTAAAATTTACGAAGGGATGACTTCAACTTCACCATTTGGAACTCTTGGTTTAATAGCTTCCTTGTGAGCAGCAATCCTCTATCAAGGAAATCATGATAGGAAACACAAGCCCGGGAATATCGTATCAATCAGGCGCTGCTTGAATGTTGCTACATAGAAATGGAAAGTTCACAATTGGGAAGCTGAAATCATCTCTTTTGTCGAAAAGTTTTGTTTTCAACCGACACTCTTTGTCAATTTCTAGATATAAGTCAAGATATGAGACAGACTTAACTGTATCTGTAGTATCCTTTATCTCTAGTTCGATGGGATAGATTCGTTCAACATAGTCACCAAATTTTTTAATATTTAGTGAGAGAACATCATCTATATAGCGGAACGTAGAGTTAAAGGATATTGCTAACTTCTTATCTCTCTTCCTAAGAAGCTCCTGTATGAAGTCAGCCTCATAATAATAAAGAAACAAGTCGGCAAGAAGAGGGGCACAATTGGTTCCCATTGGAATTCCGACAGTCTGTTGAAAAACACGTCCTCCAAACGTAACAAATATGTTGTCAATCAAGAAATCAAGCATCTTGATAATGTCAGTTTCAGAGAATTTTTTGTTTGAATCAGAGTGATTCTTTACAAAGAAGAATTTATCCCTCCCCAAGACAAGATACTTGTATCTACGTTCGCCATTCTTTTTAATGAAACAAAGTAATACCAACTCTTTCAATTTGTCTTTTTGTTTGGAATGGGGAATACTTGTGTAAAGTGTAGAAAAGTCAAATGTTTTAATACTATTGCAGGATGAGAGAGTCTTAGATTGTATGTACTCTAAAAGATCTTTGGAATTTTTTAGTATCCACATCTGATTCACGCCACCTCTAGAATAGGCAGTTTCACAATAACTTTGGAGCCCGGCTTTGATTGCTGATAAAATAGATGTTAATAATTTAGAAAGAGGTTTCGTGGCGCACTTGGAAGACCCAGCAATATACCGTTGTTTGTAAGGACACTTATGTAGTTTAGGTATCCAATACAGTGATGGAAGATCCAGTTCTTCGTCTTTGGTTGAAATTCCAAAGGAACATAGAACAGACCTATGATTATCTAGGATTTCCTCTTTGGTAAGTGTCGTGAGGGTATATGTTGAGTTTCCAAGTGAATTGTCAATACCTAATTCATTTATCAAGCAGTTTATGTAATGATATTTACACACAAAAACGATGTTGTTTGGGGCTTTATCTGCGAGGACAACAACATATTTGTCATGGAGGTAGGACAAGTGTTTTGCAACATTTGGGTCTTTAAAAATTGATGTAGCGTGGGTATTGATATGCCCATTTAGTTTCTTAATTCGGATTTGTATCAACGACCTCACAGCCTTAATACATTCGGAAAGAGTATCTACGTCTTCTTTCTCGCGTTTAGCCCATTGCCTGGCATAATCCTCGACTGAATCCATCAGTATTTTGAAGTTGTATTTCCAATTGATGGATTTAGGCTCACGATATTTCGGACCTTTGGATAACAAATTTCGCAGGGAAGTGTTATCGACAATGTTGAGGTCTCCGGTAATAACGTGGCCAGCCGGATTATATGTGAATTGGGAACTAGCACAGGTGCAATCAGGAGGTTTAGACTTGAAGTCGTCAATGTTGAGATCCTGCAAAACGTGTTTGTAATTGAAAATTTTAGTTGCAATTGGTTTGGTATAGGTATAAGAAATTATTGGTACAGACTGATCTTTAAAATAAGGAGGTATTTTCGACTGAACTAATTTATGATGAAGGATATTGCCTAAGTTGACGCCATCGAGACCTTTGTTGGCAAAGGAAAGTTTAAGAAAAGATCTTTTCTCTTTTTCATCTTTTCCAATGCGAACTGGTTTGAAAAGTCTGTGACTTGCAATATCCGAAATAATAGCTGTAAGTTTGTATTGGTTTGAATGAGGGTTTGTAACCGTGGTTTCCAAACATAAATTGAACAGAGAATGAAGTTTTGAAAGGGGTAATGAATACAGTTTCGTGCGAATGTGATGAATACCTAACGGCTTTTGTATAAATGGCAGCAAGTCATTAATAGAGACATCATGCAAAGTAGGTGATGTATAATGACGATGACCATGACTGCGTCTACGTCGAGGAGTAGAGTTGAAAATATTCATCACATTCACCGAGCTACAGGAAGGACTAGATACAATACCTATACCATCAATTTTGTCATTGCAACCATATATAGTGTCGCAGTTCCCAATTGTCGAATCCAGTAGTCTTCTTTTTGTCTACGGAGAGGCGTTGCAAGTTGAGGATTGTTAGTCTTGTGGTATATTTTTTCGATTATACGAACTGTCATAGAAACGATGGAATGATCAGGCTGATTAAAATTAACAGTCAGAGAAAACTGTTACCTTGTGCAATGCAACAAATCAACATATATGAGAGAGATGTCAGCCCGGATCACACAACTCTTTGTTAACAAGCTCAAGCAGAACTTGCTTACTACCTTTCTATTAATAGTAAAAAAAAATTTAGCAATATCATTAATATAAATAATGAATAAGAGCGGTCTCAAAACAGAACCCTGTGGGACACCAGTTGAAATACTGCAAAGCTCTGACGACGATTGTTTAATAACAACTCGCTGTTGTCTGTTGTTCAGATAACTTTTAAACCAATTCAATAATTTCCCGTCCACACCGTATGACTTCATTTTATATAGCAATCCTTGATGCCAAAATTTATCAAAAGCTTTAGAAAAGTCACAGAAAACAAAACAGCTAATTTCTTTATTTTCTAGTGAATTTAAAATACAGTTGTAAATTTCTAAAAGCTGGTGAACTGTTGAACATTTTAGAAGAAAACCAGACTGGTATTCATATATTAACTTATTTCTATGTAGGTGATTGAAGACATGTTTATAAACAACTCGCTCCATTATTTTCCCTACACAACTTATAAGCGATATGGGCCTATAGTTAGATGATAACGAACTATCTCCCTTTTTAAAAAAAGCAATTACATTTGCAGTCTTCCAGCTGGTGGGATATTTACATTGTTGTAAGGATTAATTAAATATTATTTTTAAAGGAATTGCTATTTTTTCAGGACACATTTTCAGCATTTTATGACTTATGACATCTGGACTAGATGCCTTATCAGGATCTAAAGTTTTAATTATATCAACTATTTCATATTTTTCAATTACTAAATCATTTAAAATAATATTGGTTCTTGGTTCAACTTCAGGGATGGGATCACCTTCCTCCTCTAGGGAAGAAATCAGACTAAAATATTTATTCAACAGATTACATTTCTCGTCGTCTCCGTACACTACATCTTCCATACTTTCATCGTGAATAATATTATTAAGTGGTGGTAAATCACCAGAACCCTTATTGGATTTTATAAGCATTTTCATTATCTTCCAATAAGTTTTGGGGTTATCCACGTTATTTAAGATGATATTATCCAAGCTTCTTTCAAATTTTTCTTTTGCAGCTTTTTTCAAATTATTTACTTTATTCCTCTGCTTTTTGTATTTATTAATGTCAGAATCTTTTTTAGTTTTTAAGGCTTTTATACGAAATCGGTCTCTTCTGCGGATTTCTCTCCTTAGCTCGTTGTCAAACCATGGTCTGTCAATGTTTCGTATATAAACATATCGAGTTGGGATGCTCTGCCTTGCGATGTCAAGGATTTTTTGAGTAAATGTATTGCACATCTCGTCAACATCCTCAACATCAGAAAAAAGTGCATCCCAACTGACAGAATCAAGTCCTGAAGAAAATTTATTTAAATCTGCTTTATCGTACAACCAAATTTCTCTTTTGAATGATTTGGATGCAAATCTCGGACATTCTAAAAATATTAAAGAAGCATCGTGATCACTTATTTCAGACGGTAATTTAAGTACGTCGGCAATAGAATATTTAATTGTGTCGCAATGTGCTACTGTGTCCAGTCACCCTTGTCGGTTTATTTATTACATTTTCTAAATTAAAAAGATTCATTGTATTATATAATTTATTATTATGGATTGAAAATAAATCAGAGTTCAAATCTCCTGTTATCACAATATTCTCGCTTAGTTGGTAACTCAATCCCAGCGAATAATTAAGTCTTGTCTAATAGTCATTGTCCGTCCACTCAGGCCTATAAGTACAACAAAGAAAAATGACTGACCTTTACCTTTAATCTCTACCCATATTGTCTCATCAATGTGGTTTTCGAGTTCACCTTTACGTACGACGGATATATCATCCTTAAAATAGATGACAATGCCTCCGCCGGCACTGTTACGATCCTTTCGGATTATATTCTTTGAAAATGAGGAAAGCTGCAAATCGTCAATGTTCACACTTGGATCCAAATGAGTTTCAGTTAAAGTTACTATATCAAATTCATCAGTAAAATTTTGGAGAAAATTAAGCTTATTTCTTAGACTACGTATGTTTATGTTACATATGGATAGTGAGGTTTCATTTATACTGGTAGAGTCAGTTATAATATCTGTATTCGGACCTGGATTAGTCTCAATATTTCCAATAATTAGGATGACATTTAAAACAAATAACAG